AATGGCTCGTCTAATTCTTTGCTATGTGTGCCAATGAAAACATTTTCGATCATTTTTGCACACGCCACTTTGCGATCGATTAACTGCCCTATCCCTTTCTACACACCTCACCCCAGCTAATGAACTTCTACAGCTTGTGTTGACTGAGATATTAACATCTTTGCTGATAGTGGTCCCCACCACTTGATATAAACAGTCCGCCTGTCCGTATCAGGAGTTGATACTCTGTGACTGTCCCATTCACTGATAACCTTCTATGGCCCAGCACTATTAAATTTTATGTTAATTCCATAGGGAGTAGCTATGGAAAAGCCAGCTTTGTTTTTTGTGGCTAGAGTGAATAGCGCCAATTGTTGCTTACGCAGACCTTCACTTAGCTACAAGTTCTCAATTCTGTGCACATGAATGCTAATAGCTAACTGTTTCTTGGCTGCTCATTGTCAGTTGTCAGAGCTGCAGGTCTGGTTTGCTTGTGTGTCGCAGTTTGCCGCAGAGTATTTCTGGAACTGATCATAGACTTAGTAGATAATGAAGACAGGCATTTACAGACTGACAGATGGTGTTATAAATATTATATACACGTCAGGTTGCGTGACCATTGCTCAATGATCGTTAAAGCTACCATCATTATTGTAGCTACAGATCTAGAGTGAATGTCAATTCAAAAGTGCTTTCAATAAGAAATCACAGTACAAAATCATTGAGAAGGGCTGTCCAGTGCATCACGTAACTCGCAGTAGAGTCTCTGAAGTTTGGCATTCCCTGCAATATCACTCAGGAAATCTCTCGCCATTCCACGCACCCCAAACCCCAAAACCACCCCTCCCTCTCCCCCTCCCCCTCCTGGTCGGCAGAACTGCATGCAGAACTCCCTCAGTCTCTCCTCCAGTCCTTCCCTCACCAGGAACTTCACGTACACCCTGCACCAGTGCTGGTGCTCCACCGGAGACTGGAGAGATAGGCTACGCGATATCTGGCTCTCCAGGAACGAGGCAGTTGCTAGTTTTCCATCCGTGTCTCGGAGTCTGGTGAGACACTGTCCAGTGGTTGGGTGGTGACTCGAGAGTGCAGCTGACTGAATCCTCTGGAGGTGAGCAAGTTCCATTGAAGTCGTTGCTTCGAAGTCCGCCGCAATCCCGCCACGAATCTCGGTGTTTTCGTTAGCGTTGGACACCTCCATCCACACCCCCATCCCAGAGTGGTAGAGATAGCTGGTGGAGTCTGAGAGGGACAGTATGGGGGTCCCTACCGGGGCGAGGTTGCAACTACTGAGCGAAACTTTCTCGCTCCGTTTGAGCAAGTGAGCAAAAGACGTGTCTCTCACTAGTAACTCCGTCTTCTGCATGTCCCATACTCTGACACTGGCGTCTGCAGTCACGAGCATCGCACAGTAGCCCGAGACCTTTACGTCGTGAGGAGGAGCGGGAGTTGAGAATCGTGCCAGCAACATCCGTCCACTCTGACTCGAGAACACTGACATGGTGTGGTCCTCGCACACGACACAAGTGATACAGTGATTCCCTGTGGCAATCAACCCACGAGACAACAGGGACGACCTCCATTTCACATCTGCCCCTCTCTTACAGGTGACGGTACAGCACTTTGGTCTGGTGTTATCAACCTCAAGATTGAGGGGCTCACCCCCAGCCACACCAGCCCCAGCCCCAATCCCAGCCACTAGCTGTACAGTGAGTGTACTCTGGGGAGTCGGGACTGGAAGCAACACTAGTGTCGAGGTCGACTTTGTGTGCGAAGATGTCACAGCACTACTAGAACCAGAGCCTTTCTGTGGAGTACAGGGGGGTTTTGATTGAGGAGGTGAGGCAGGATCGAGGCTCCTGTGCTTCTTTTGTCTCTTGGCTCGAGGTAGGGGGTCCCCGCTGGCCTCCGTGTCCAGGAGCCGCCGCTTGTGGCTGGGCTTGGTGGAGGAGGGAGAGATGGGCGGAGCCAGTGGCTTTGTCTTGGAGGGTTTTGGTGAGAGTGGTTCAAAACTGATAGGTTTGGCAGGGGGGCTCAGCAATTGTACCTCCAGTCCACTGGGTCTCTGGTCTGATGTCTTAGTCTCACCCTGGTCACTGAGGGAGTGTCCGAGACCTTGGACAGGGTTGAGGCTGACGAGGTGAAAGGTCGGGGGGCGGAGTCACTAGAGGCAATCTGGGAGGTGAGCATGACCGGGTGATCCTCCGTTTCCCGTCCTTTGTCCGTGTCTCAGTCTGCTCGGTAATAGTCGGGACTTTGGCAGAGTCGAATCTTGGCTCCTGACTCAACTGCTGGGCAACCACCCTCCCCTTCTCCTGTGTCTTAAGTTTCTCCTCTGATGTTGTTTTGCTGGTTTGATGCAGGAGCATGGCAGGGTCCTCGATGAGAATGTCTGAGAACCCTGAACCGAGACCCTTGCCGGCTACTGGCTCTGGCACAGCCGTAGATCTCCAGGAAGAGGTTGTCCAGGGCTTGTTTGGGGAGTCGGACTCCGAGCTCCTTCTGTGAGAATGAGAGGTAGCCGAGGGAACCGTCTGTGGACGCCACCATTAGCTCGTATCCGTCACAGCTCCACGCGATGTCAATGATCGAGTCGACAAACATGTCGTGAGTTACGACCAGCGGACGTTTGAGACTTGTTAGCCAGATGGAGAGGGAGCGATCGCGACTCCCCACCGCTATACACCCGTGGTTACTCTCCTTGGAGCTCCTGTCGTTAAAGAAGAGATGAGGGTTGAAAGAGACTACCTCCACGGCCTTCCGATGGCCGACAAGGTCCACCCCCATCTTCCAGTCGCCTCGCTCTATGATCTGGGCAGTGGGTCCGTCATTGTTGAGGGCATGGGCCGAAACGATGTATCTTCCATCAGGACTCCAGCTGAGTCTCAGTATGTGAGTGGTTCCACCACATCGTCGGAACGGCTCCGTGATCACCTTTTCCTCGCACCAGTCGCTAGTCCTCCAGATCCGAACACTGCGGTCGTCCGACTGGGAGGCGAGATACTTCCCGACAGGGTCCCACGTGATCCCTTTCACTAGTCCTCTGTGGCCAGCGACTGTGGAGACCTTCTGGGGTAGCTCACGAGCGTTCCAGATGATGATCGTATTGTCCACACTACAGGAGGCGAGGTACTTTTGATCGGGAGACCAGGAGAGGTCTAATACGTCACCATTGTGCCCTCGCAACATGTGGATACACCCCCATCGCTCTAGATCTGTCCCGAAGCCGAGACTAGCTCCCCCTCCGCCCCCTCCCTGGTACTTGACTGACCATATCATGACTATCGCGTCGTCCCCACCGCTGGCGAGCCATTTACCGTCCACGGACCATCGGACACAGTTTACACAGCCAAGGTGGTTGGACATCTCGCACAGAACCTTCGGGATGGCCTCGTTGGCCTCGTCTGCTGCGCTCCGGACTGGAGCCATGTTCCAAATAACGACCACCCCCGAGTCTTTGCCCTGTCCCCCGGTAGCAAATCGAGAGCCGTCTGGGTGAATGGCCACGGAGAATATTGGGTTCCCATCGTGCGACACCC